GAACATTGCAAAAGGTTTGCACAAGCAACCCAACGGTCAAACAGCAGTTGTCTGAGCCTGAAAAAGTTGTTCACTGAAAGAATCCCTTTCCTTGTTGCTCGAAAGAACCCATTCCAGCAATCTGATCCCATTTCCACGCCTAAAAGCATTACGCGGACCAAAAGCAACTTCTACCACACAATCTGAACGAAAAACGGGTCTGACAAACAGAGCTTACGCAAAGCTTACGACGAGTGACTCATGCATGCAGCTTACGCAGGACCTTCCGATCGCTTACGAATCTCGCAAAAACGCTACGACTGCAAGAGTAATTTCCAGTTTCATCTAAACTGATCTACGGAGGTTTTTTTCGCCGCTCAGGTGGGGAGAAAAGGGTTAGTTGGTAGGTGTCGGCCACCTCGCCTTGCCCTGGAATGTGACTGCCATGTGGGCCACTGCAGCAGCGAGGAGGTGCTCATCATTGACCTGTCACTGAGACTGAACCTGCCATTAACGTCTCCATGTTTGGTCACTGGCCGTGTCCACAACCACGCCAAGACATCTCAGCTTCCCTTGCAAACTGGAGATGGAAGGAGCCTTAGGATGTTACACGGCATTCCAATGAGACGCATCCTGTTCATTCATCCGCCACGACTCGCTCCGGCCTCAACAAATTCCTCCAAAGCTCTAACCGAGCGTAGCTCCGTGATCCAGCTCTTTTTCGCCCTCTTTGCCAAGGCCATGATGGTCTTGCTCGGTTTCCTCGGACGGAAGCTAACAGTTGGTGCCCGAGGGCAAAACCTAGGATTGCGCCCAAACGCGCGCGCGCAACCCCCCCACACACACACACACACACACACACACACACACACACACACACACACACACACACACACACACACACACACACACACACACACACACACACACACACACACACACACACACACCACACACACACACACACACACACACACACACACACACCCACACACCCACACACCACACACACACACACCCGCACCCGCACCGCACCCGCACCCGCAACCCGCACCCGCACCCGCACCCGCACCCGCACCCGCACCCGCACCCGCACCCGCACACGCACCCGCACCGGCACCCGCACCCGCACCCGCACCCGCACCCGCACCCGCACCGGCACCCGCGCCCGCACCCGCACCCGCACCCGCACCCACCCGCACCCGCACCCGCACCCGCACGCACCCCACACACACACACACACTCACTTAGACTCCAAAAAAAAATGAAGGCAACCAACTTCGAGCAAGCGGTTCGAGTGAAAATTGCGTTCAAGTCTGTGCGGCTTGCCTCTAGCTGCTCTAACAGGGCAAAGCGAACAACAATGGATCAGTGAGGGGACGAAAAGGAGCTTCAGAGCATCACAGAACCTTCTCCAATGTGCGTCCCTTCTGGCTCTCACGACCGAACCATCACTGTGAGCCATGGCGGTGCACTAACCCTGCAAACATTGGTCCCTGGCTTCGTCAGGGACTCGGTGCACACACACACACACTCACCGTGCAATGTCGTATTATACGTCTGCCGGGTTCTGCGATTGACAGTTCAAACATAACTAGCTCAAAATATCGGATGCTGCGTCTGGGTTTTCGTACCTGAATGATCCACACCCTTTGGCCTGGTGATCTATCTCTCCGATGTCTGCCAATACTGTGCTCTCTTGCGAAGAGAGCGAAGCAAGCTGCCAAGAGCGTCAAAGCACCACAAGCTTGGGGCCCTGTTCTCCAAGAATGCCCTGAGAAACATGTCAGGGGATCTGATTTATCCGTCAGTGCGTGCTCTTGTGGCTTGTCGGGCGGTCACTTGCTTTGAGCATCGCTCAGAACAAAAGCACAAATCAAATTGCAGGCAGAATCAACATCGAATGAGGCAAGCTTCAGAACAATATGCTGCCGCATATACAAATGCAGAAGCGCGAAGGGAATAACTGCGACATAGACTGCCCCGGTGCCGTAGCCGACTGCGTAGACCTTCCAAGGCCACCAAGTAAACATTAAGCGACCGCACACCTAGCCTGAATCAACTCCGCATGCCTGAGGTCAGTGCCCACTTGGCTGCGCCCTCCGTTTCGGAGCAGAGCAAGAATGGCAGCTTCTGCAAGAACGCGAAGTCGCCCAGAGGCGCGCCGCCTCATGGAAAGAAGGAAAATCGCAAGTCGCAAGCCATGCCAGGCTAGCTGAGACAGGGAATCCCTTCAATCAAGCCTTCCCTGTCCCACGTTGTCCCTTGCCCGTCCTTTGTCGACCAGCTGACACCGCAGAAGGGTCGCTGATTCGCGGGCGCCACCGATGAAAAAGATGGTTAAAATCTTGAAGGCGGCGCCGGCACCTCGGCTTCCATCCAAATCTTCTGCGCTCTGAGTGGAAAAGCGTCGGCGCAACAATGAGGAACCTTTCTGCATAAGTCCCCTGACTCCTCCCCGCTCTCCTTCTGTCTTTCTTGCCAGGCCACCTGCGGAGGGCTTGATGATCTCCAGCAGGCCGCATGCTAGAAGCATAACAAGGGGCGCCACGGGGGATGCCAACGCAGACGCCAATAGCACTTTGTCACCATTCCAAAGGCATTGAAGCCTAAAGGCGTCCTCCAGGCTGCGCACTGTTGACATCCAGTCGACTCTCATTAAGACCAATCCAAAAGAGCAACCAACCATCATTGTACTCTATTCCGCTGTCCTGCGTCTGGGCCAAATTCAGCTGAAACGCGTCCACATAGGTGCGTTCCCAGAAGGATTCACGGGAAGCACCTGATAGCTGCCACAAGTCGAAAGCGAATCACAGAGCCTCAGAGCCTCCCCCTCAAGTATTCCATTGAAGCACTAGGATCACGTTGCTGCTGTGACGTTGCACGCTGGGTGCAGGAAGCTAGTCCGAGTTGGGGCGAAGCGGAGAAAACAAAAACCAAAAAAAAGAAGGAACACACTGCCAGCTGCCTTTCCAGCCGCCTAGGAAACCACACCAAAATATGTTTCCGGCCGAAGATCGAACATGAGTTCCCAGGCCTTGGCCAGTGGATGGATCTGGCGCGAGCGCTGCCAGAACCCCATACAGCTGAACTACTTGAAGAAGAACCACCGCCTGAAGCGCGGCAACCAAGACAAAGCAATCCAAGTCAGCCCCCGCCTGCCGAGCAGCAAGCTCCTTCAGGACATGCCACTTCACGTCGGCCTTTCCAGACTGTTCACCAATAGCATGAACTTCCTTCTAAAATCGAGGCCCCAGAGGTCCCCCGGCCTGTTTCCAGTACTCGGTCACCGTGCCGCGCGACAGCCACGCCACGCCAGCCAGGCCGAGACCGATGGCGGCCACGGCTGCGGCCATGCCCCAGAGGTGCAACTTGTCCTCTTGGGACGCCTCCTGGCACTTCTCGCACTCGCCCTTGGTGGCATAATGCCCAGCGGTGCAGGCAGCGCACAGGACCCCAGTTCGTCCTCAGGGCGAGGGCCGGAAGAACTCTGGGCTTTGGACCCTGAACCCTGCGGACTTGGCCACACCGGCAAAACTTGGCTGCAGCTTCATGCTTTTAGGAGTACCACGAGAGGGTCCATGTCCATCCCCTGACCACATGAGCAAACACGCGGAGGAAACAAATGCATGATATCCGCCATGGAAATCATCTCCGACCTGCAAATTATTTCTTACGGCCAATATGTGTTGCATCCCCCTTGGCGGAAATTCGACAGAATCCGTGGCCTTCTGAGCACATTGGCTCTGCCGGGTCCAGTGGCAGCTGCCCTCCAGGGCAGGCCCCCTCACTGAAGCACTGAATTGCTCTTCCCTCCCTGGTCAAGTTCAGCTCGGCTAAGCCCCTCTCCGGGTTGACGGGCGCCATCCAACCTCAGTGACTCAGCGTGTTTCGATGCCAACATGTGCGTGCCAGTTATCTTCAAGGCATCTTGGGTTTGGCTGCCATTTGCGCGCTGTGAGGGAATTTCCATGAGTACATAGAAATCCTCTGTCACCTCTACTCCTTTTTTGAGTGCGTGCCAATGCCCTCAGCCACGGCGTCTTGCAGCATCCGACACATGCGGAACACCCGGATTGAAGTGTCCCTTGCAGTCAGGGCTCCCTTTGGCATCTGCAGCTTGCTCTTGGCGCATTTCCAAATTGCTGGACACGGCGTGCAGCCGGCAGCCACCCCCTGCTGTAACTGGAATTCTCCCCCAGGGCACGTGTAGCAGCCACGGGAGACGTAGCGATCCGCGTCAGCATCGGTGTCCACAATGCCGGATCCGGCACGGCAGCGGGGCCTGAAATCTGTGGGCCACTTGGCTCTGGCCTTAAAGCTGCAGTCCGCGACTTCTCCGCAGTGCGCGGACTTCACATCGATTGCCCTCCCCTTCACCTCCATGGCCCACTTGGACGGTCCGGCAGTCAGCTCCTGCACCGCCAGAAGGCCCCGCCCTGCATCCACCACTGGGGGACGGGCCTGTGCCACAAAGAGCGCGTGGAAACTGACGTTCCCGCGGAAGCACAGCATTGCGGATTCCGACACCTCCTCCGCCTCCACGTGGCCCTCGGCCAAAATGCCGCCCTGGACGACAAGGAGGCAGCTGCCACCGCCGCTTTCTTCGCTGTGAAGGCGCGCAAGGCAGTCGTGGCACTGGAGGCGCCCTGCGGGGCCCTGCCAGAGGCCCCTTCCGGCTCTGGCGCCGCTGCCTCCGAGGCACTACCAGTGACCCGAACCTCCCCCCTCCCGGCAGCCCCTTCGCGCCTCTCATTGCGCGGCAACTCTCAAAGCGAATTGTGCCGTTGGTGAAAGTTCTTTTTGCCACATCCAGTCCTCTGCACGTCTGGCTGCACAAGCAAGTGCGCAAAACCGCTCTTTGTGATGCGACCCAGGCACAAAACAACAAAAAGCCTTGAGGGCTGACAAAACAAATTGGAGCAAGGCAAAGCAGGCCACATCCTCCTGGCAGGCTGAGCCGCCTCCTCCGTCGCCTGATGAAAGACACCTTTTGAAGGCCATCTGGCCTCCAGCTTGGGTCAGATCATCCGCCACGTACAGGCCTGCACCATGTGCGGGCTGGCAAAAAGCACACAATCGCGACTCATATTTCCGCGCTTGCAGGCGTTGTCCGTGGTGGGCAGTGTATGTGAGCCCTGAGCCCTTTTCTGCCATGCAACGAAAGGAGGCTTGTCAGCCGGCCCATCCATAAGGCACCTAGCACCGCGACCCACCCTGTCCTCCTCCGTTTTTCGTAGCCTGACACTTGATGAAGCGCATCTCGCCGGCCCTGACGAGTGCGACGTCCGACGAGGCGACCCTCACCCTAGGCCCAACGCCCCACGCCGCTCCTTTGGTGCAGGCTGCCCAGCGCCGCGCACCCCCCAACTCCCGACGATGCGCACTCCTCCAGCTGCAAAAGCCCCTCCTGCCAAGGAGACGCTACCACCCGCACAACGCTCATCTGACCACTCAAGAACGCCTTGTCACTCAAGTGCATCCAAATGTCTGCGGCCAACTCCCACGCAGCCGATCCTCCATGGACAAAGAGGTGGCCTTGAGGCAGCCGCCATGGCCATCCACTGCAAAATTCTTGCAGCGCTTCATCACCAGCTTGCCGGAGACTGTCAGGCGATCCATCACTTGGAGGCAAGCCTGCGAGCTGCGCACCCCCGGCTATGGCAGCCAACCTGTTGGGACTGAGAACTGCTCCTTTCACCTGTGTCTTGGTTGAGCTGGTTGAAGAAACAAATCGGATATAGGAAGCGGAAATGAAACGAGCCGCACCGTTCTTTTGTGTCTGACGCCTTCGTTGGCCACGCCAAGTTAAAGCAATTGGATTGGAGCATCAGGAAGACTTTCGGCGGGCAAAAACCGCACCTGTGTATCGGATGAGCACGTCTTCGAGCTTTCAGGTTAAGATCAGCAACGTCAACAGTAGTCAAACCAGGCTGTAGTGGGGTTGTAAGGTGACTAACGGTTGTTCCCGTTTGGTCAGCTGGACACGCAGTGCTACCCCTCTATGCGACTTGAGCCAGGATGGTTCTTGACGTTCAACATGCAAACAGGCGGGGAAGTTGACTGTAAATCGGAACCTGGCCTGGGGATTTACGACATCCTGTTGCGGTTAGAAGTTCATCATCTGGTCGCAACTGTTCACAAACAAAGATCGCTCCGCATGCATTTCTCACGGCGACGCTGCTCTATACTGCTGTCACTGTCTCTCTAAAAGCAAAGCGTTCAAATGAAATCAAATCAAGAATTTCAACAACGCGACACTTTACTTTGCCTAACTTTGTCAGCGTGGCGCAATTTCATCACGCACGCGTCCACATCTTTGGGCGCTCGCGAGCGCATTGTGGGACAGATGTCGAAGTAGCACAGTCTGTTCCCAGAATTCAAACCCCCGCCTGGTGTGTAAAACAGCGGCAATTGTAGGCGAGTCCAAAGACACAACACACGACATCGCCCGCGGGGGTAGGCCCTTCACCCGCATCAGTTTGACATGTTCCTCGCAGTCCGGGTGATCTCGCCGTGAATTTTGCTTGTAGATGCGGTTTTGCCCCGTGATCTTCCAGTACTGAGCATCTGTTTCTTCCTCTTCCTTTGATACAGGAGGGACCCGTGCTCTGGGTAAGGCGTGATACATGCAATCACGCCGCGAATCTTCTCGCCGACGTAGTTGCACCATCGTCCATTGACATGCTTGTAACACTCCTCCTTCTTGCCGTTGATTTCGTTCCCCTCGAAAGACACCCAGTGTGACGACAAAGTCGCAGCGATGAAACCGCACGGGGAGTTTGCGCAGGGAAAGCGCGCAGAGAAATGCACAGGGAAATTGCTCAGAGCTGCATAGCGAAAATACACAGACAAAAGCACAGGGAAATTACACATGACCAAATGCAGAGGTACTTGTACCCTCTAAAACATCCATTGCGCCGATCCGCAGTTACGGCTCATAACCTGTCGAGAAGCGGGAATGGCGCCATGTGATGAACAGGTAGCAAATAGCCTCGAACGTCTTCGGGTTCGGATCAAGTCGTCAGCTGGTTGAAGGTTGCACGTGTTTGCTCAGCTGGACACGATACGGTACAGAGACAGAGAACCTTTTCTGCTAATGCTGACGTCAGGTACATGTACCTGATTGTTTTGGTCTTGAGCCAAGATGGTTTTGAACGCGTCAAGGCTTGGCTTGACTCAGCACAAAGGAAGTAGAATCGCCTGACATTCAACACACACACACCGAACAACATAACCAAAGGTGACCATGTGACCGTCAATTCCAAATTATGACAAAAACAGAAACGCTTGAAACAGGGAAAGGTCAGCCAAGCCAGACGGATGAGCAAGCAGAAGCGAGCTGACTCGCATGACGCCTCACGCAGGCTCCGAGAGTCATGTTTAATCCGCCAACAGCTACTGCCGGGATCTGCAGCGTCAACTTTCTTCAGGCCCCGAGGTTTGTTTTTGCTAGGTCCAGTTTTTTACTAGGTCCGGTTGGCCTTCCAAGCATAATGAATCACCAGGCCAGGGAGCGTGCTAGGTCCTTCTGGCTTTCAGAACATGATGAGCCACCAGACCAGAGAGTGCATGATCGCGTGGGTCGGCACCAGGCAGGGAGTGTGCTAGGTCCGTTTGGCCTTCAGAACATAATGAGCCGCCAGGCCAGGGAGTGTACTAGTCCCATGATCGCGTGGGTCGGTGAATGTCAGCACTTTCCCAAACCCCACGCGGGTCTGATTACTTTCCAACGAGTTCATGGTTGTCCCTTCCCCGGACTTGCACAAACATATAGTATCGCAACCCACGTAGGCTCGCACACACGTAGTACCCTGCACCCTCCTTGTCCCAGCAATGCGACTTTTTTTGGCTCTATGGCTGATTGCTGCCGTGCATGTTTTGCAGCCTGGCATAGAAAATGGGGGCAGATGCTCTTGAAATCTGGCTGCAAACCTTAGCTGTTATGGGGGCACACGCTCTTGAAATCTCGCTGCAAACCTCAGCTGTTTGCTACAAAATCTAGCCACGATCAACACTGCGCCTACTCTGCCTGCGCTGACTTTTGCAGCGCTTGGAACGCGTGCCGAATCGCAGCTTCGTGCGATCCGTGCACGGTCAGGGCAGCGTGACTTCCGCGCACACGCTGCCTGTCTCTCACTGCTTTGCGCTCTGGCGAGCGCTGGCTGGAACGCAAACTCATCGGATTTGGGCAACATGTGCGTAGCATTTGGCTGCGCGCCTGCGTGGGGACAGCAGCCAACTCCTCGTTGGCAACTTCCGCTGGCTTTGGCCGCGCGCCTGCTTGGGGACAGCAGCCAACTCCTCGCTGACAATTCGCCCTGCGGCCGTTCTCTGCTGCCTGCTGCGCTGGTTGTGTCCGATTCTGGACCAACTCCACTGCCACTCTCCGCGGCTCTTTGGCTCCGTGCGGCGGCGCCGCAGTCTTTTGACTGCGCGCTGTCTGTGCTCTGCCGTCCCATGCTCTGCCTCGCTGCTGACACCGCGCTGGGCTAGCAATGGCTGGGCGATGGGCTCCAGGTCAACAGACTTTTCGTCTATGACGCGTGCTGCTTGCTCGTGCTCGCACCAAGCCCGCAAGACAGGCAGTTGCACACAAACATGCTCTGGACAGAACGGCCTGCTAGGATTGAGTGCCACACACGGCTGGCTGTGCACCGTTGATGACGATGGCAGTGTTTTGCTTTGAGTCGCAACCATGTCTCAACATGGAAATCACGACCATCCCAAATGCCATTTGCAACGCTGCTTCCGTGTCTACCTCCTTGACTCCTGCAGCGAACATCGCTTCTAGCACATCTTGCACCGCCCATTCCTCGCGATCATCCCTCTCTGCTTCCTTCGCATTTGGCCCCCGCCTATTGTTTTTCACTAGGTTCTGCACTTGGTGCTGCAAAGGCGCTTCACTTCCATCTAAGGTCGCCAGCCTTCCACTGGCACTCGAGGCGCTCGAACGCAGCAGCTGCTGCCGCTGCTGCGTGGCAGCTACTCCTGCTCGCAGCCGTTGCTTTGGCCCATGTTCACCTACAGATCGAAGTTCTAGCGTGCTCGCTTTGCGGCACGACCTTGCCAAGCGCAAACCTTCGCGCCCGCATTCCAAGTCAGCTGCGCACCTGGGTTTCACAAAACAGCGAAGCAGACGGACATAAGCTTCGCGCGCGTGGTGCGCACATCGTGTGAAAACGCAGCGCTGGTTAAGTTAAGTACTTGAAGGGGCGTGGTGGTTGATAAGTAGATACGTGGTTTATTAACCATTTCCCCGAATACAATCACAGTTAGGAGAGTTACATAAGTGTAGTTAGCCAGCTTGGTAAATTGAATATCTGGACATACGAAAGAGCAATTTCGCATATTGGGAAACACATTTTTGGACTTTGGGGCTCAAAGGAACATAGCGCCGCTCTGCCCATTTCGAAGAAAAAGCGCGGCTGAGTTTTGTTTCTGCGGCAAGCGCAACGTGAAACTCTCAAAGACCCTGCGTTGATGAGTCGGCAAAAGATATTTCTTTGGAAGCAAAAAACACATTTGCACGCTTGCATTCATGGCCAGGCAAGAGTGCAGACTTTCGTTGAGTCGCGGCATCAAGCCCACGTGGAGCATATAGCACGCGCCTTCTGCGCGGCACAGTCAGCGTGCGCATGACACCTCTCGGGTCAACACATGGATTGTTTGCATGCAGGGCTTTAAGCTCGCTGGCAGGGCTTCAGTCAGATTTGCTCCGAATTGCCCGCAGTTTTCCGCTCGAGTTTTTTTTCCGGCACCTCTGTTTTGTATATACACCATGGTGCTGACTGATGACGTCAAGCAAAGCATTGGCCAGTTGCTGGCCAAGGCTGAGGCGGGCGACGGTCTGGTGAAGGCTGGCGAGCAGGTCCTCGAGCTCTTGCGAGGCTGCAACGTGGTACAGCGCATGCGCCTTCCACCAAAGGCAGTTGGCATACACCCCTCCAATAGAGATGGGCTGGGCATCAACGCGCTCGATGTGCACAGTCTCATCAACGATGCGCTCGAGGTTGGGTTTGTGCCATCCTTGGTTCACGCAGTTGCCACAGAGATAGATGGCCGTGAGCAACGGCAGTGGAATGAGGACCTCGTCGCATCCGCAGGAGGCGCGCTTGGGGTCTTGGAGGGTGACAGCCTCCGCGCGGTCAGCCTATGCGGAGGGCATACCAATTTCATGTTGAGGTGCTTCTTGGATGGTGTGCAGCATGAAGAAGGCCCCGTCACCCTCAATGGCAAGTTGTCTCTCGAAGCCCTGCAAAAGACTGACCCTTGCTTTCACCAGGCCGCTGTGCAGGGTGTGGAGTGGGATTTGGTGCCGTTGCAGGTGCTGCGCGAATGGCCCCAGCTTGCCGATGTCATTCAGCGTGCGGGCAACGCCCAGCTGAATCGTGGAGAACATGAGTTGCAAGTCCTGCGTCGCTTGCACACCCTCTACATGGCCGCCTCTGCGCGAGGCCCGGTGGATTTCCTGGAGGTGAAAAAAAAGGCTCTGGCGAGCAAGCCGGCCTGCGCCAGCAGCATCCCGGCGATGTACTCGCTCGCTCTCAAAAATTCGGGCGGAGCCAAAGCTGCCTACTTGGGAGAGACGGAGCGCTTCGTGCGCGCCAACGCAGTGTCCGGCAAGCCCCTAGGCG